ATTCTGAATTAAACAATGGGAACGACAATTGCAAATCATCTCAACAATTTTTGTTATGTTTATTCGCTTTCCGTGTCATAGTCCTCTTAACTTTTAACAGCACATGTATTCTCACAGAGAAAATTCAGGGAACACTGAAAGGATGGACCATAGATTGCTGAGGCAAGAAGACTAAGAGGCTTTTAGAAATCTCCTGTTTATATCAGAGAGCTATCTATAATCCACCACCTAGCAAAAAAACGTAATCACAAATGAGATATGTGAGTTATGTATTAACATTGTTTTAAAATTCCCCAAATTACAACATACCATTTTTAAAATGAGTTAGATCTACATTGCTGATATAGAAAGTCGAAGATTCATTGCTAAGTTTAAAAAAAAGATGCAGATACAATTTTGTACAGACACAATAAAGTTCTGAAAATATTTATTTCAATGTAAGTTGAAAAGACGTTTACTTTCTCCCCTTTGTTATGGAATTCATATTTCTTTTTATCGTATGTTTCACTTCTTAATATGGTAATATCTCCTTATAAAGTCTTTCCTAAATTAAGAAGTAGGAGATCTTTTTCTCCATGGGAGACAGGCTGGAAGGAAATATTTTGCAGGGATGCTCAAGACTGCTGATTCATAGAACCCAGCAGCTCTATAATGCAGTTGAGTCTTTTTCTTTTGTCAGATGTTTATAATGGTGAGTATCCAAAATTCACAAAACATTGCACTATTACACACTTTACTATTATAACCGCTAACTTCCTCTAATATCTTCTCTATTTTATGTAGTAATAAATTTCTGTTGGGCACATCATTTCCTAAATTCCCTTGCTAGTTAGTACTATACAGGCTGAGTACCCTTCATCTGAAATGCTTGGGCCCAGAAGTGTTCAGTTTTCGAGTTTTTCCATATTGGGGGATATTTGCAATTACACTCTCTGTTGAGCATTCCCTTTGGGCATCATGTCAGTAGTCAAAAAGTTTCAGATTCTGGAGCACTCTTTTGGATACTCAAACCATACTAGTAAATTCTGGCCTATGATATGGACAGAAGTGATGCCTGTAACTTTTAGGTGGTGCCTTTAAAAGAGAACATTCCTTTGGTATGCAACAAAATCAAAAATAAAATAAAAAGAGCCTTTTTTTCCTGCTTTCTTCTTGCCTAGAAGATGACTGTGGGAACTGGAGCACCCATCTTAGATCATAAGATGACAGCTGATGAAGATGGCAGAGAATCAAAACATAAAGTCAGCTTGGGCAATAAATTAAAGTCCCATCTCTACCCCAACTACCCTCCACCGCACACACACATGCACACAAAAGCCACGTGTGGTGGCATGTGCCTGGAGTCCCAGCTACTTGGGAGACTGAGCTGGGTAAATCGCTTGAGCCCAGGAAGCTGAGGCTACAGAAAGCTAGGATAATGCCACTGCACTCCAGCCTAGGCAATGGAGCAAGTCCCTGTTTCCAAAAAAAAAAACACACCAAAAAAGTCTGCTAAATATAGATCACTTTTCGGACTTTTACGTGAGAGAGAAATAAATGCCTATTATGGTTAAGCCACATTACTTTGGTTTTCTGTCGCTGCAGCCACTATCATACTGCACCCATGTGCGTGCACACACATACACGCACATATTAGGGATTCTAATGCTGTAATTATTTATCATCTCATTTTTAAGAAAAGCTTATTTTAACTGACGGCTGAAAAAGCAGTCTAGCTGTAGTAAGCCTTAAAATAGAAAACACAGAAGTTAGTTTTTGAGTATCAAGTATGAAACAGAACAGCCTCACACTTACTGATTATTGGCCTTCATTCTTGTATTAAAGGCAATAAAATACAAGAGTTAAAACACTGTGAGACTGCTAAAAATAAAATGTATTGCATGACCAAATCTACTTCACAGATTAACCACAATAAAGGGGAAAGTGAACGAAGGAATAACTACCATAAAACGATAAAATCATCTTTAAAGTTAATATCCCACACATCAGGGTAACATGAAGTTGCAAAAGAGATAAGCATATACAAAGAAACAAGCCTTACACTTGAAAAAGGTGAGCTTTGGCAATTTTGATTTAATGCTCCAAGTTGTGTTTCACGTACCGTATTGGTGTCTTAACTGATTTCATTGTCTCTTTCTTTAGCAAAGTCTTCACCTAAATGTATTTACAGGCTGGGCACAGTGGCTCATGCTTAAAATTCCAGCACTTTGGGAGGCTGAGGTGGGTGGATCACTTGAGTCCAGGAGTTCCAGAACAGCCCGAGGCAACATGGTGAAACCCCATCACTACAAAAAATACAAACATCAGCCGGGAGTGGTGGTCTGTAGTACACGCTACTCAGGAGGCTAAGGTGGTAGGCTCGCTAGATCCTGCGCGGTCTAGGCTGCAGTGAGCTGTGATTGTACCACTGCACTCCAGCCTAGGCGACAGTGCAAGACCTTGTTTCAGGAAAATACATACATATATCTGTGTATATATCTATATATGTAACAGACTAAAGATAACTGACGAAGAAATGGCAAGGAGAAAGAAAAGATGAAAGACTCCAATGTCAGCTTTCCTTCTACAGAGAATTAAAATAAATTAATAGGTTACTAATTTATGCATAAAATGGAATTTATAGTTCTTCAGATAAGCCAATAAAATAATCTAAAGATGTAATTCTTTTGAATTATCTAAATAGCTCTGTATTATAGTTACTTTTGTCAATCTGTCTATCTTGCAGACACAAGGGCAGTAAGATTTACCTTCAGATTTTAACTTTGTCCTTCAGAGTTTCTGCTTCCAGTATCTGGTTTATCTTTTGAAAAGCATACATTATTCTTTCAGGCATTCCCACCATTGTCCTTTTGATCAGGCTTAGACTGGGTAAATATGTGTATTAAGTAGAAAGAGAGGACGAAATAGGTGTAATTATTTTTCACTATAAGAGCTATAGTGTATTTTCAATAGATATTAACGGATCACAGGATAAAATATACCAGATCACTAGACTTTCAGGCCAAATGTAATGCAGCCATGAACTCACATGAAACATCAACCCCACAGTCCTAAACTCAGAAGCCACCTCTCTTTGGTAAGAAAAAAAAAAATCTTAGAAGCATTTAAGTTGCCTAAAATTTAAGAATTTTCTACACCATCATGTTCGAGAAATAATCCATTGGCAGCAAAGCAGATTAAAAGATTTAAGATGCACAGGGTGGCTTTCAGTTCTTACCGTGTACTTAAAGAGTAGAGGCAAGTCAAGGCTGAAGTCACAAGTCACAACAAACGAATACATTTTAGAACTTATTTGAAATCTTTGAAATAGATATCTTAAACTGTTCAACTGTTTTGGCTAGGCAAGATGGAGTGAGGAGGAACATGCAACTTTTCTGCTCTGCCTTCTTCGTTCTGTCTTTCTTGTTCTTTTACCATGGGAAAAACAGACCTGAAACCCAAATGAGATAATATGCGAAAAATACACACAGATAGTTATGTTGGCCTTCGTTACATCACTTTAAACCACTATGATTTAAACTACTCTTTTAAAAAATAACAATCTAGTTATAAAGTATAGGAAGAATTCAGTTTTGCACATAACATTTATAGGGTGCTTACTATACGCCAGACCCTGTTCAAATGGTTTACATACGACTCTACAACCTTTAATCCACAATTACAAAATCTAAATGCTCTGAAAGCCTATAGTGGTGAGTCTGGGAGGAGGGCGGTGCAAACTCACTGGGTGGCAAAACCTGATCTAAAGTGATGTAAAACTATTTATAGTTTTAATTTATCTCACTTAGTGTAGTATTCACGTGCACTGAAGAAAAATTAATGTACTTAATTACTATGTGCTACCTTAGACCTCACTGTATTATGTTACTTATGGGTTATGTACTCTGTTATCTTTCACAATCTGAAAGAGGCTGGGTGCGGTAGCTCACACCTGTAATCCCAGCAATTTGGTAGGCCAAAGCTGGAGGATCACTTGAGGCCAGGAGCTCAAAACTAGCCTGGCCAATATGGTGAAACCCTGTCTCTACTAAAAACACAAAAATCAGCCGGGCATGGTGGTGCACCCCTGTAGTCCCAGCTACTCAGGAGGCTGAGGCAAGAGAATCACTTGAACCTGGGAGGCAGAGGTTGCAGTAAGCTAACTACATTCCAGCCTGGGCGACAGAGACAGACCCTGTTTCAGCCAATTAATCAATCAATATAAAATCTGAAAGATTTTTAAGCACATCCGACACCAAGGATTTCAGATAAGCAACTGTAAACCTGTATCTACCCAATTACCCTTACCACAAGCCTATAAGACAGGAGTTATTTTGCAACCTAGGAAAGTGAGGGTTAAGGAACCTGTCCAAAATTAAAATAGCTGGTGTTAGAGCTTGATTTGAACTCAAGCAGTTCAAAGCCTGGGCTCTTAACCACTATACTACGCAGGCTTTTTGTTTTTACATCATGCACATTTAAAGGTTTTTTATTTTTTTAGCCATAATTACGAAAAACAATAGTGCAGGACACCTTTTTAAAAAACTATTTAAAACAGAATTCAGAGAAAAAAATATTAAGTATTACAGTTTAGGAGTACATAGGCCTTGGGCCAACGGATTCTAATATTTTATAAAAAGGCAATATCCACGCAGCATATTCCAGATTCGGGTTGTGGAGAAGCTGCAGGGCTTGAGGTGACTGTAACAACCGCCTTCAGTACGGAGGAGCCACTGCCAGCTGTGTGGACAATACGTAAGCACGTGCTTTGTTTCATTGCTCCATTGCCACAGGTGAGTATTTCAGGGGAATTATTATTAATTTCACAGTTTTTTAAAAAGCTATCATGAGTAAATAAAAGTAATGGTAGGAGTCATGGCCCCAAGAGGGAGAGCTTATCGACAAGTCTTTCTCTAGCCTTCCCCTGGAAGCTCCAGTTCAGGCATCGGTCACCAGAAATGTCACCCTCTGACCTTTCCCCCATCCCATCTGAGGAAGTTTAACAGATCCCTTACAGGTACCGTGGCTCTCAGTACCCTCGGACTTCGAACAGCCGGTTCGAGCCCACTCGGACCTCCACCACAATAGCAACCGGTGTGGGCCGCGCGACCGGAAGTGCGGCCGCGCACCTGACCCAGCTTCCGCCTGCGCCTAGGGCTCAGCGCTTCAGCAGGACTCAGCCAGACGAAGGCAAAAGAAGAGATGCAGATGCGGATCCCTGGAGGACTGGCCCCACCGAGAGCAAAACAGGAAGCATTCCAGGAAGACCGCGGGGGTGGGAGAATGCAATTAAAATGGAAAAGGCAGTGACTGGCGGCGAAGGTTTACAGAAACAGAAGATAAAGGGCCAGAAACCCTTATTCTGGAGCTGCCACGGGGAGGGTGAAAGGAGTGGGAATGAACTGAGAAAACCCTGCTAGGCTCCAGGATCCTAGGAGTGCAACAAAACGAAGGGCCAAGATGAAAAGCGACTGAGACCTGGAGAGGCAGGGAAGGAGAAAATGGAGTGTAAAAGAAGCCTAAATGTTTTATTTCATATTTTGGCTTAATTTTGCCTGTATCACCAGAGGTAATATCTAGCACAGTAAAGGCCCAAGAAATACTGTTTAGAATTGTTACTCAGTAGCCATGCGCTGTTAAGGTCAGACATTTCCTATGCTTGAGCCCAGGAGTTCGAGACCAGCCTGGGCAACCTAGAAAGACTATACAAAAAGAAACAACAACAAAATAAAAAACAGGCCCAGCGCGGTGGCTCACGCCTGTAATCCTAGCACTTGGGAAGGTAGAGGCGGGCGGATCACGAGGTCAGGAGATCGAGACCATCCTGGCTAACATGGTGGAACCCCCATCTCTACTAAAAATACAAAAAAATAGCTGGACTCGGTGGCACACACCTGTAATCCCAGCTACTCGGGAGGCTGAGGCAGGAGAATCGCTTGAACCCAGCAGGCAGAGCTTGCAGTGAGCCGAGATTGCGCCACTGAACTCCAGCAAGGCTCCATCTCAAAAAAAGAAAAATAAAGTTATTTCTGATATGGTATTAAGAGAATCCACAAATAAAAAATATTGATGGCAGATAAATCAGAACATTACTTTTTCCCTTTTTAATTTTTTGGAGGGTTTATTTTTCAGATTGAACGATAAGGAAACATATGTTGATACTACCCAGCGTCTGCAACAGAGGAAGTTAGGCAGTATGAGGGAAAAAAATGAATCAAAGGAGAGAGCGGAAAGGATCTACCACCTTATCCATCTTCTTGACTGTACAGTCTCCGGAGCATTTCCATTAATGGGCAAGAAACATCCCAGTGCATTGTACACCTGTTATTTGTAAACTCTTGCGACATGAATGATGCTTTCCTCACAATCTGTTCTACTGAACTTTACTTTTCTCTAATAGTTCTGCCAAGTTTGAGATCTGCAATTTTCACTACCATGATGTTCCACTGCTTTTTCTACCTAGGTTAAAAATACAGACTATGCTGAAAATCACGAAGAAACAATGATACACTGTACCAGACCCGTTGTAAGTTTAAAAACCCCAAAACAGTGTTTAGGAGCAAGTGAAAGAAAAAAATGTTAACTCCAGCTTTGCAGACCGCACACAAATCTCACATTTATTCAACCCTAGGCGCTCAAAGTTATTTGATCATTACGGTTAATGTTAAAAATGGACAATTATAGCTACTATCAAAAATCAAAATAGTCCAGGCAGGGTAGGTCACTCCTGTAGTTCCAGCACTTTGAAAGGCTGAAGCGGGAAGATGGCTTGACCAGCCGGGCATCATAGCAAGACCCTGTCTCTGCAAACAAATTAAAAGCCAAACAAAAAAAACAAACTAGCCGGAGGAACAAACTAGTCGCAGGGGGGTGGCGTGGGGGGCGGTGGTGGTGACGTGTGACTGTGGTCCTAGCTAGTCAGCTACTTTGGGAGGCTGAAGCAGGAGGATCCCTTGAGCCCAAGAGTTTGAGGCTGCAGTGAGCTATGATCATGGCACTGCATTCCATCCTGGGTGAGACAGTGAGAACCTATCTCTTTAAAAAAAAAAAAAAAGTTAAAAAAAAGAAGTGTTCTCAAAGGTGTGGAAAAAATTGGAACCTTTATGCACTGTTGGTGGGAATGCGAGCTGCTATGGGGAACCTCAAAAAAAATCCAAAACAATTGCCCAGTAGTAGTAGACCCAGTGACAACGAAAGCAGTATCTCAAAAAGATATTTGCACACCCATGCTCACTGCAGCATTATTCACAATAGCCCGGTGGTGGAAGCAACCCAAACATCCCTTTGACAGAAGGATGGAAAAATATGATGGAAGCCTTAAAAAGGAAGGAAATTCTGGCACATGCTACGACATGGATGAATTTTGAGGACATTAGGCTGACTTAAAGCCAGTAACAGACAAATACTGAATGATTCTACTTATATGATGTATCTGAACAGTCAAATCCATAGAAAAAGGGAATAAGAATGCTGGTTGCCAAGGGGTTAGAGGTGGGGTGGATGCGGAGACAGCAAGCTGTTGTTTAATGGGTATAGAGTTTCTGTTTTGCAAGACGTAAAAGTTGTGGAGCTCTGTTGCACAGCAACGTGAACATACTCAACACTACTGAACTGTACACTTAAAAAAAGGCTAGGGCTTGGCACCTGTAATCCTAGTACACTGGGAAGGAGGATTGCTTGAGGCCAAGAGTTTGAGACCCGCCTTAGTAACAGAGTGAGACCCCATCTCCAAAAAATAAAATAAACAAATGGTTATGATGGTAAACTTTTGTTCTGTGTTCTTTACTACAACTGATTGATCAAATGACTGATTGATTGACTGACTGATTGATTGTAGAGACGAAGTCTCACTATGTTGCCCAGGCTGGTTTTGAACTCCTGGACTCAAATAATCCTGCCTCAGCCTCCCAAAGTACTGGGATTACAGGCGTAAGCCACCGCACCTGGCTTTCATCTTTTTTTTCATTATAAAAAATAAGCACAGCCTAGGCAACATGGTGAAGCCCCGTCTTTACAAAAAATACAAAAATTAGCTGAGCAAAGTGGTACATGTCTATAGTCATACCTACTCGGGAAGCTGAGGTAGGAGGAATGCCTGAGCCCAGGAGGTCAAGTCTGCAGCGAGCAGTGATGGTGCCGCTGCACTCCAGCCTGGACACTGTACTCCAGCCTGGGAGACAGAGAGAGACCCTTTCTCAAAACAAAAGGGGAAAAAAAAAAATTAAAAAAAACAGGCAATTAGCAAGAGGGAAGCAAGGGGGGTGGGGGGTGGGGGAGCCACACTCTAAGAAAGAAGTTTTTCCTCCTAACCTTTAGACGAATGTATCATCAGAATGTCAAAAGATTTTCTCACAGCATTCCTTCTTTGAGACCCTCACTGCAAAGTCAGCCTATTTAAGTTTCTTGTAGGTGCTAAGCTATGGGTTTCCTTGTAAATCATGAATCAAAGGAAAATATTTTGCTTTATGAACAAAATTACTTTTGTACTTCTTGGAAATTGCCCATTCATGACTTCCCACTCACCTGTAAGATCTGCCAAGAAACATGGAAGAAAGAGAACACATCCTTTCCTTTTTGGCTTTGATTAAAGAGGTTTGCTTTTAAATGATACTATGAAATGTACAGAGAGCACACACAAAGTTTATCTCCAAACATTATTTCCTGAGCATAGTAACTGACTACACCTACTAACTCAGTCTGAAATAAGAACAAAAGAACAACTAGTACCATAGTATCAGATTATTTTTGACACTTAAAGGTAAACTCAGATATTCCCCCTCAGCAAACAAACATTTAAAATAAATCACATCTTCTTGTAATCCCAGTACTTTGGGAGGCCAAGGCGGGTGGATCACATGAGGTCAGGAGTTTGAGACTAGCCTGGTCAGCATGGTGAAACCGCATGTCTATTTCTAAAAATACAAAAATTAGCCGGGTATGGTGGCACACACCTGTAGTCCCAGCTACTAGGGAGGCGGAGGCATGACAGTAACTTGAACCTGGGAGGTGGAGGTTACAGTGAGCTGAGATTGCAACATTGCACTCCAGCCTGGGGTGACATAGCAAGGCTATTTCAAAAAAATAAATAAAAAAAATAAGATTGCATCTTCCTATCTCTCTATATAGATACCATGCAAACTTGATGACAAAAATCATGGGATATCAAGCCTATCTAATAATATCATTATTGCAGAGAAGAAGAAAAACATTTATTAAGGTAGAGTATAGTATCTGAATTTCAAATGCCTCTCTCATTCTGCCCCAGTGTTAGAATAAGAGCTGAAGACAGTGATCACACACAGAATTTAATTCCAGTGCAGAAGTAAATGTGGTAATTCTCACATTCCTCAGTATAGAGGTAGTCAGTTAAGCTTTTGCTTGAGCAAGTGTTTCCTCAATCAAGTCACAAGTTTCACATAAATGGCATTTTTGGCTGCTATTTTTCCTCCTTCCTTGCAGTAATGACCACATCAACACATCCTGGTTCCACTTACGGTCAGTCTCCTTTGTTGTACAGGGAGAACAGAAGGGAAAAATCCATTTGGTTATACTCTGTACCTGATAAAAGTTATGACCATCCTAAAACATGGAAAGTAAAAGGCCAAGACAAGCAAATGGCTCACTCTGTTGCCCAGGCTGGTCTCAAACTCCTGGCTACAAGTGATCCTCATGTCTTGGCCTCCCAAAGTGTTGGGATTACAGGCATGAGACTATGTTATTTAGAGAACCCTGCTGATTAGCTTGTTTTACCGAAAACTACCAAGTTATTTATCAGAGGGAAGAGGAAGACAGGAATGAATAATAAGTAATAAATAGGTATAACTGTGCTCTGAGATTAACTTGCAAAATAGATAAGTCATTTCCTAAGTAAAAATAACTTTTTTTTTCTTTTTTTGCGACAGAGTCTCACTCTGTCACCCAGGCTGGAGTGCAGTAGTGCAGTCTTGGTCCACTGCAACCTCCACCTCCCAGGTTCAAGTGACTCTCCTGTATCAGCCTCCCGAGTAGCTGGGATTACATGCACGTGCCACCACACCCAACAACTTTTTTTTTTGAGATGGAGTCTTGCTCTGTCACCCAGGCTGGGGTGCAGTGGCGTGATCTGGGCTCACTGCAACCTCCGCCTCCCGAGTTCAAGTGATTCCTGCCTCAACCTCCCATGTAGCTGGGATTACAGGCAAGCAATACTATGCCCGGCTAATTTTTGTATTTTTAGTAGAGACGGGGTTTCGCCATGTTGGTCAGGCTGGTTTCGAACTCCTGACCTCAGGTGATCCGCCTGCCTTGGCCTTCGGAAGTGCTGGGATTACACCAAGCCCGGCCTAATTTTTGCACTTTTAGTAGAGATGGAGTTTCAGCATATTGGCCAGGCTGGTCTGAAACTTCTAACCTCAAATGATCCTCTCGCCTCAGCCTCCCAAAGTGCTGGGATTACAGGCATAAGCCACCATGCCCAGCCAATAACATCATTTTTTTAAAAAGCCTTCAAAGAGTTCAATACAAAATTCTTCTAAAGTAAAGTAATTTTTCCAAATGGCAGCCTCGGATAAGATCAATTTTAACATTTTGACTTATAATCCCAACAAATCTACGTCAAAATGCTACCTATATCATAACAAGGGAGTGTAAACATGTAAAGGTTCAATACTTACTCAGTTACATTCAGGAAATATTTATTACGTGCCCATAAGCAAGAACCTCTTTTAGAACAAAATCCAACTCCTTTATAAATTCGACACAATGAATTCTTTTTAAAACAAAAACACAAGCAAACCACAACTGCACGAAAGAATGCAAGGGCACCAGCAAGCTCAGACACACCACATACCCTAGACTCGGAGAAGCAGGGAAACAAGGTGACGTGTGTTGAGAAAACTATTGCAGTCCTAAGTGATATTAGTGTTAGATACAGGAAAGTGATAGTCCTGCCCTGTTCTTACATAGAACAGCTACGCTCAGAGCACAAGATTCCACCTGACAACTGGCAGGGTAAAGTTGGAGATTCAGAGAAAAGCAATCAGGCTAGTAAAGGAACCGGAAACTATGACCTATGACAGTGGTTGAGGGAAGTAGAGATGGTTAGCCTAAAGGAGAAATAAGCAAGGCTTAAGAGAAATTAGACAGCAGCTTTCAAATATTTTTAGAGAAGTAGGTTAATTATGGTAGTCATCCAACAAGGTAGAAATCATACCAAGCGTGAAGTCACAGGAACGTCCTGAGAGTATGCAACCATTGGAACTGTCCATAGTAAAATGGGCCAGCTTGAGCAATAGAAGTCTCCTAGTACCAGGAAATGTTTAGAGGTTGGGGAAAGTGAAAAAAAGACCTGATTAAAGGAGGAGGCTGATGTTGTTACTCTGAGAAAAGACAATTGTTTTATTGGAAAGAAAAAGGAGCTAATTATTGGAAATAACTGAATTCCACATAAGGACTAAAA